GGAAGCACACGTTCGTGGGGTCCGCACCGCCTGCCTCCTGGGGCGCTGGGGCAGGCGGAAAGCGGCGCAGTGTTTCTTTCACTTCTCCACCGACTGCTGCTGAGAGCAGGTACCTAGGAGAGACCGGCCGAGGGCGGTGAGATGCAGGGGGCGGCGCTCCCCTCGCTGGCAGTCCTGAGGGCCGGAGTCCTTGGGCTCCCAGGGGCTCAGCATTGCCAGGTGCCCGGGAAGGAGGAGCGCCACGATGCGGGCTGCCCCGGTGTGGAAAGATGAATCGTGCGGGAACCCTTGTTTACCCTGAAGTGATGGAGCGGGGGCAAGCACCCAGAACTAACTCTCCTCACCTAAAGGTTGCAGCGTGTCATTATTTCTTCTGGAGGGGTAGGAAGCCATCCATCACTCTGATGTCAAACCTGGGCCAGGCGCCTGGAAAGAGGCAAAATCACGGGCCCCAGGCTCTGAGAGTGGGTTCTCCAGTCTGCACTTTTATTTTGGCTCCTCAGGGTAATCAGCTCCCTTACCTCAGGCTCAGTGAGCTCCCGGAGGTTTTCCTTATCAGCAGGGTCAGAAAAATAGGGTGGAATAGAGTTACTAAGAGCTGGCAAATCTTTACAATCCCCTCTTCTATTACCCACACACGCATACATTTACTGTCTTCAAGGCATCTTTCTTGACCTCTTGGGGTGAGGTTTTGGGGAAGAAAGGAGGGGAAAGGGCAACTCTCCGCCTTACCACAGCTAAATCCTCCAATCAGTGGGCCCCTCTGTATCCACAGCCTGAGAACCTCTTCTTTCTCCCTGATTTCATAACAGGAAAATATATATGGGGAGTTCTTTTGCCAAGACACTCTTAGTGCACCTTTTACTGGTTCTAGGTTGCAACAACTGTAACTAACTTAGTAAACTCAGAGTCAGGTTTGGGGCAGGAAAGGGGAAACAGCACATCTATAGGTGTGAAAGAAAAGTGATTCGTGTATTTTTACTGTTCCCTGATTTCTCTAGGGGAATCGAGGGAACACACACACACACACAATCACCGAAGTCGGTTGCAAGGATACTGCCTGTGCCAGATAACCTCTTCATTACAAAGGCTGTAATTTTTCAACTTGACACTGAAGGTCAAGTTCTCTCTCTCCTCTAGTTCCACCCCCCCTCCCCCATAATCAGAGAAGTGCAGTTCTGAGTATTGGGTTTTTCCTACTATTAGAAGTTGAACTACTTTTATCTAAAGCAAAGTGTCGAACCTTGCCAGAGGAGAATTTGGTAGGTTGTAGATAATTTAGACTGGAAATCGTAGAGTAAGGTGTGAATAGGAAAAAGGAAAGCAGTGATCCATCAGACACTGGGGAAGGTTGTGATGGAATGTTTTTATCCTAAGACTGTGTGAAAGACCCATTTTGAGGTGGTGATTGTGTGTGTGTTTGTCATGGTCACTTTCTAGTTAATGGGAAACAGTATCAGGCAACCACTATTTTAAAAAGGGAAAACTTATTTAGGTTCCAGGGTTTTAGAGGTTTTGGTCCATAGTTGGAAGGTTCCAGGGAAGAAACTGCACGGAAAAGACCTGTCCTGGAGAAGAGTTGGTCACCTAATTAATGGCGGGGGAACCTGAGGGAAAAGGAGCACAAGAATGGAAATAGATCCCAGCGTCACGTCCCCGTTATCTGCCTCTTCCAGCAGACCCAACTCCTGACTGCCAGTCAGCTACAAAGCCCAAAACCCCACCTATGAGGTTCCTGTGGCATATCTAGACATAAACCATAAGAGCAGGCAAGAGAGAGCACCTGTGTTTAATGAAAAGGTGAATGAGCAATGTTTTGTTACTCCAGAACATACGAAAGTGGTATATCTATTTTACCCTTCCCCAAACTTGTTAATAGTCTTGCAGGAATATACACAAAATCTGACCATATGATTGAGGTTGTGAAATTGTCATAAAAGTAAAAATAAACTGCTATTGTGGCAATGAGAATGACATTATTTTGGAATAGGGGAGTAAGACAGCCTTCAGGAAACTTTGCAGAAAATGGGAGTAATCAGAAATGTGGACAGAACAGAGGCGTTGAAGCAAAGCATGAGGTATGTGAAAGCACGCAGTACGTGTGGAGAGCAGACAGAAGTCTAATTTGTGAATAGTACAGCATGTACAGCATAGAGGTAGGATGCAGTTGAGAAAAGGGTTTAACACCCTGTTAGGCTGATCGACATGATATGTAAATCCAGATATGCATAGTCAAGACCTGTATGTCTAGCATTGGATAGCTCATTGTTTCATTAAGTTTCTCAGTAGTAGGACTACTCAATTCACAAGTTACTAGATTAGGTCCTCAGGATAACCACAAATTTAAAGGGGTGTGGTAATCACTATTCTCAAGGCTGGAAGCTGTAGGCAAGAGGCGGGCCCAGTGGAATATTATTAACCAAAGCCCTTTTTGTTTTCTGCATCTTTACCCAAATGTATTTTCTCAAGGGGTCTTGAGATCAGAGTGTTGTATGCACACAGTATTCTCTTTACTTCAGCTGCTTTTCAGGCAAAGATAGAAGTGCCTCTCTGGATCTCTCATCAGAAACACGTTCATTTCCCATTGCTGTGACAAAGTAATTTGCCTTCATTTGCCTAGGTCAGTTTATCTTTCTAACAGATTGATGGTGTAAGGACAATGCACAAAGAAATTGCTTCTATTCACTGTTCTCCTTCCGAAAGCATGGTTTCCGTTATACACACAATGAGTGCAATCATGAAATAAATGCATCTACGAACAGGATTAAGTCATATACACTGTGTATGATATAAAAAGTATAGAAATGCATAAGCCCTCCTTTATGTGATTCGTACTTTACACTTAAGACAACTTATTGGCTTCTTCATCTACCTACAGAAATATTGCAGAGGCTTCCTTGGTGCTTTAGTTTTTTTCATTTATAAAAATAAGAGCGAGTTGAACAGAACTCAGGAATCTGAAAAGCTGAGTAGTAAGAAATACCAACAGGACTGGATGCATGGTTAAATGAAAGCAGATAAATTTGATTTAGAAGAATCAATAAAATGAACATGAAGGAGTATCAGAGAGATAGAAAACGATAAGGTGCATTATATGTGGAAATTATCTTCTCAGGGAGATTCTGCCTCTCACATCTGCAAGCTGTTGCTGCACAAAGCATGCAGGCCTTTAATGTACACATGAGGCGTAGGCATGAATGGTGCTGTGGACAGTGTTTAAACACTTTTTAGTTCCCTATTGCTGATGTTATTTTTGTTTACTCTCCATATTGACAGAATTCATGTACCTTAAAATAGCACTATTAGGAAATAGGACATTCCATGTGTTCATTTATATTTTTAAAATGTCACAAACCATTATACCTATTCATTTACTTGTCTAGAAAATTGCCTGTTTGGGCTTTTTTTTTACTACCACAAAGGAAGAAAAATATCCACTCTATATATAGACAGATAGTCTGAAACCTCTATAAATAGATGATCCTACTACTGCCCTCCCCATTAATGCCACTTTTTCTAATGATCATGTCTTTGAAAATAATTTCTACTTTCTTGGTATGACAACACGTTAGTTATTTTGTTAGGCTATTTCTGAGTGTATAACAGTGGATCTTTTGGTGGTAGAATTTAGACTTTAACATCTTCCTTGGTAAATGCCTTGCTTTCTTAAATTTTCTATTTGAAATTAAGAAATAGAAGAGGCAGATTTATGGTACTGAGGCACCCTAATTGTCACAGATTCTTACTCTTTCACTTCTTTCAAGATACAAGGGGTCATTTTTCTTCATGGTCACTTCATGCTCCCTCTGGGCAAATAACTGCTCATTTCATTCTGAAGTTACACAATGCCTGCCTATAATTTGCCACTTGCCAGAATAATATTTTCTTAATTCTAAGGGATATATTCTTTTCACTAGACAAACCTGGAAAATATAATAAAGGTCAGAACAGTAAATATAACAAACCTGTAGCATACTGACAAAAAAGTGATTGACACAATTTGAAGAATATATTAAGGACAAAGTAATAAAAGAAAAAGGAATCAAACAATGGCTAGCAGTGAATCTATGTGATATGACAAAGATCATGATGTGAAATGCAGGTTGCCCAAGTATTAATCACAGCACTCTGAACTCATATTTTTGTCCATGGATAGTATTGACCAACGCAATGTCTGAACAAATCCTATCATGAAGAGGCCAGTTATAACCTGCCAGGTAACAAATCCTTTATCTGTAGCACTGGATACCACTAAATTAGAGCTATGATAGGACATGGCAGGCTAATTAAATGCACAATTAAAATTGACAAATTTAAAGATGTCTTATTGTACAAAATTTTAGGTTTCTTCTAGTGGTGTTT